GCATAGGTATTTATTCCTGTATATTCGTTGGTGAATAGAGCCTTGTTCTGTTGGAGTTCAATCTAAATATTAGGCAGTTTATCTTGCTTTGTGTACAGATTTTCATAACTTAGCTATGGAATAAATACTTGACGTGGACAGGTATTTGAATAAAAATAATAAATAGATTTATACTTTCTAAAAAAAACTTGATTCCTTTGCAATGAACCTTCTGTTTAGAATGATTCCAAAGGTAGGAGGAGTAAATCAGCTGCCCTGTACGCAGCCCCAACCTGGATAAATGCATTAAGATTTAAAAAATATAGAAGCATGCTAGAGACCGTAAACAGAAGACTGGCCTCAGGATATAGAACTATGTCAGGAAGAGCGATTGAAGCTGTTGCGAAACTGCCCCCAATTGACTTGCTGGCACAAGAAAGGACAGAGATACACAGGAAGGGCAAAATTGCTGCAAGGGAAGATTTGATGGAGCGATGGCAGGAGAAATGGCAGACATATAAAGGATGGCCAGCAAATTTAATAAAGGACATCAAGTGATGGTCCCAAACCAAGTGGACGGAGACTGACTTCCACTTAACGCAGGCCTTCACTGGTCATGGAATTCTTGGGTTCTATCTGAAGAAAATAAAGAAGCCAATACTGGTTCTGTGACGACGAAGACACGCCAGAACACACACTATTTATCTGTGATAATTTCGAGAGAACAAGATTGCAGAACTGAAATGTGGAGTAGGAATAGATAAGGACAACATAGCAGAACTGCTACTGCAGAGCGAAAGTAACTGAAAGAGCATCACAGAGATGCTACGCATAATTATGAAATTGAAGGCGGAAGAGGAAAGGAAACGAGAGAATTAAAGAGCCTGATACGTTTTTTGCCTGCAAGACGAAAAATTGTCTGTAGTCCCTCATGAAGTAATGTTGAAAAGTGGTTCCAGGAGGGGAACCTGCGAAGAGTAGGGGAAGGGTTTTAGTGGGTGAGAGTCTTCAGACTCCCTAGGACGCCAGAACACCAATGCCCTAGGTGTGCATAATGCATTTCCAACCCCTACTATCAAAAAAAAAGTTCGAGTGTACGCCACTGGTATTTTCCTGTTTCTGAATAACCCCTCAACCTTTCCATAATGACAAAATACATAAAAAAAAAAGTGAAATAAGAAACGAGACGACATTTCTTCAATGATTTCCTTATTTTTTCCTCTGAGTGCATCAGATTTCCTCAAATTTCCTCTTGATTTTCTCTGATTTGTATACCAGATTTCTTTTGTGGTTTACCCTCCAAAATAAAAGAAAATAATAGAAATAAAATAGAAGAAATTGAATCAAAATACTGCAGGCAAGAATGCTGCAATGACAAAATACATCAGAAAGGAAGTAAATTGAGGGACTTTTAGATTTTAAATGATTTTCCTGACTGCATTAGATTTCCTCTTGACTTTCCCTGATTTATATACCAGATTTTCCTTGTGGTTAACCCCTCGGAAGAAAAAAAAATAATAGAAATAAAATAGGAGAAATTTAATTAAAATACTGAAGGCAAGAATACTGAAATAAAAAAATACATCAGAACGAAAGTAAAATAAGGGTGTTATATGTATAAGAGCTCAAATGTAAACTTGGCTTTCGCTTTAGCGTTCTGTGCTTTAGTTCTACCCATAGAGTTCTACCCTCTATGGTTCTACCTTTCAATGAAAAATACAGTACTCAGTACTGATGTCAGAAAGACTATGACGGGTCTGCCAAAAAAGTAGAATAGATAAGGGGTCCCATAAGTAGTCACAGGCTTAGTTTAGTCTAATAGTCTTAAATAAAGTGTGTTCAGTTCACGAAGTAGTTTTGCTCCCAACCTAAACATGGTGTCAGGTGTGGTTGCTGGATTTACCACCCAAAAAGTGTTTCAAAGTTTGAGTCTCAATAGTTTATAAAGGCGCTAGAAATAGGTACCTACATATTGAGCTATCACAATGGAAATCTTCGAGCCACCCAGTCCTTTAACCGAGTACAACATCAAGAATTGGACTCTGTGGAAACAGAAGTTTACAATTTACTTGAAAGCTGCAAGGTAAAGAAAGTGTATAGCCGAAGATGTAAAGATTGCAATATTGTTAAATTGCATAGGAGATGATGGTCTCAATATATATAATACTTTTGAGACAGATGAAACATCTACGTTAGAAAAGTAACTTCAAGCCTACGATGCCGGTTTTCTCCCAAAGAAAATCATTCCGATGTAGGCCTTCAAGTTTAATAACCTTACCCAATCAACTGATCCAGAATATTGAGCAGTACTTGACTGAACTCGAAAAGCAGGCCAAATTGTGCGATTTTATTTGCAAAAAGCCAAACTGTGATTCTATTTATGAAGATCGCATGATAAGAGACCGCCTGATCATTGGAATAAGTGAAAAACAGATTCAAGTCAAGCCAGGTTAATTAAAGAGCCAGATGTTGATGTAACCAAGATAATTGAGTATTGAAAGTATGTTAGTTTAAGCACGGAGCACTTGAAAACATTAAATCCAGAAAAAGAAGTCATTTTTTTAAGAAAAAGCTCAGAAGATTAAATGTGGAAAATGCTCTTATGAACATTGGATTAACAGATGTCCAGCATATAATAAAACGTGTGCTAAGTGCCAAAAAAAGGGACATTTTGCCAAAGTATGTCCGAAGCACATTTCACAAGATAAGGCCATCAGCAAGAAAGCAGTATCTAGGAATGTAAGAGAACTTACAAAACTCGATGACAGTAAACATGAAGTGGATACAGAGGATTTATTTATTAATGAATGTTCCAGTAGGTACCCAAGGAAAAGATAAAAAGTCATGATGTGAAACCATAAAAATTGAAGGAAAACTTGATTCAGGTGCAGAGTATACTGTTTTGCCTTTGCATGTTTTTAGTAAGTTAAAATATTCACGAGCATTAAAACCTTGTTGTACAACATTAATTTCTTATGGAAATTTTAGATTTAAACCATTAGCTCAAATAACTTAACTTTGTGAATACAAAAATGTGAATTATCTTGTTAATTTTATAGTTGTAGATGCTAACACTTAACCTTTATTTGGTCTGGATGATTGTCTAAGGTTGAACTTGATTAAAAGGTTCAATATGGTACAGATTCTACCAAAAAGTAAAAATGATATTTTTGAAAAGTATAGGCATATTTTTGAGGGTCTAGGTAGGATTCCAGGTCTTTTCAAAATTGAGCTGACTGAAGATGCAAAGCCTGTGGTTCAGTATCAACGCAAGGTACCTATTTCTCTACATGAAATGTTAAAAACAACCCTTGATAATTTAGTAAGTAAGAAAATAATTGAAAAGGTTGACTATCCTACAAGTTGGATTAATAACCTAATGAATGTCGAGAAGAAGGAAAAATCACTGAAAATTTGTATCGATCCCAAACCCCGCAGAGAGCAATTTCTAATCCCAACTTGTACAGATATTTTGAGTAGGCTTTCATCAAAACAACTGTTTTTAGTTTTTGACATGAAAGATGGGTTTTATCACTTGCAGTTGGATGATAAAAAAGTTCATATTTATGCACGTTTAATTCACCCTTTGGTAGGTATCGGTTTAGAAGAGTGCCATTTGGAATATCAAGTGCACCCGAGTTATTTCAGAGAAAGTGCTTTGAAATATTTGGAGTTATACCAGGTGTGATAAGGCTCTTTTAGAAGTTTTTAAACAAGCTGAGATCAATAATGTACGATTTAATTTTAATAAACTCAAGTATAAATTAAGTAGACAAAGTCATATTTATTCGTCATGAAATATCAAAAGGAAGGAGTCAGGGCCTATTCTGAAAACATGAGCAATTTCAGAAATTGAAACACCAAAAAATTGTTCTGATGTTTTAAGAATATTAGGGTTACTGAAGTTTTTATCGAAATTTATCCCTAATCTTTCGGAACTTACTAAAAATTTGAGAAACTTGACAAAGAAAAATTAAATTTTTTCTTGGATAGAGGCTCATGATCGAGAACTTTGTATTTTAAAGTCAATTGTCACGTCAAATATACCAGATTTCCCTTGTGGTTTACCCCTCGAATAAAATAGCAGAAATTAAATTAAAATATTGAAGGCGAGAATACTGCAATGACAAAATACATCAAGAAGGAAGTGAAATAAGAGACGAGACATTCCTCAAGATTTCCCATGATTTACTTATGATTTCCCCTGACTGTCTTAGATTTCCTCAAAATTTCTCCTTGATTTCCCCTGATTTTTACTCCAGATTTCCCTTGCAGTTTACCCCTCGGAAAATTCAAGGCAATTTATCATCAAATAAAATAGTTGTGATTTTTTTTAAATTAAGCAAAAATAAACAATAATATGTCCTCCACGTTGAAATTTTTCCCTCAAAAACTACTCAACGCACAAATATGAGAATTTGAGGAATAATTTCCAAACATTTAAGGTAAAATATACTGAAAAATTGATTATCAAATAGTGAAGGTGTGAACTTTTTAAATTGGGTAAAAATAAACGTATCTACAATAGGTACCTACTATTTCACTACTTCTCCATCAAAATCTTCTCTAATATCCTGTTATAAGTTAATCTACTGCAATTTTTAAACAAAATACTCACTTGGAGGTTTGTAAAGGAACATTTTCACTACAGCTAATGCAAAAATAATCAAAGGTGCATAAACCTATATCAAAAAATCAATAGATAATCATTTCTATCTAAACAAGATCCACAACCATCAGTGTTTTAAAACGATAGAGGACTCTTTTAGCTTTCTACATTGTAAAAGATTAATTACTATATACGCGACTTTAATCTAGCAATGTCAGCATTTTGCCTGTTTTCCATGAAATTGATAGGGCTCATATATCAACTACAAAACTTAAATCCCCCTTAGTCTGCTTCTCTAGCTGCTTAATTAATTCTCTGAAACGAGCTACCGTTACCTAATCCTTACTGGGTGTAAATAAACTCTGCGATTTTGCATTTTTTCGCAATATAATATTACAAAAATTATTCTTACCCAGAGGTGAATCGATGAGTCTTTTCCTGTAAACTCTCGGTGATCCGTAAGGTGAACTCCAGCCCAAAACTTGCTGAGTTCCAGGTTCGAAATAATCCCAATCGCACTCGTCGAGCGGAAAACTCGAAGCTGAAGAACTATCGTTATCGTCAATATCGTCTTCTTTAGAAGAACTGTCGGAATTTACGAAAACTAAACGGTAATCTTCTCCGTCAGGTAAGAGAATGTCGAAAAGATCGTTTTCTGGCGGTCGTCTCCAGCCTTAAAAGAAAATTGAATAATCTTTTTTAGTAATTGCAAGACAAAGAGATTACATTTACAAAGCAAAGAAGTTCAAAAACAAAAGTTAATTAAGGTAGTTCTCCTCTCTCTATAGCCCTAGAGGTAGATTTTATTTTTAGTTTTCAATTTTACAAAAGACCCAAGCTTACATTTTATATAATAAATAAAAGCTTTTGTAATCAAATTGAAAACAACGAAGTCAACGCCAGACTATTTTTAAAATGAGGCAAGTTTTTAATTAGATCAGGTGAATTTCATTATTGATTAGGGCAAAAGCAGGAACGTATTCTAAATAAAAATTAATTACGTACCTCTTGTTGCAGTCCAAATTAGTCCCTTCACCATTATTGCAATTCCAACCAACCACCACCGAGAGTTATTTTATAAAACAGTTTTATAGAGCAGCATTGAACAAAACAACAATATCACATGTTGCCAATAGTTTTTGTTTAAAATAATCTACAATTTTCCTGAAATCCTGCAATAGTTATTTGGTTTCAATGACAACGTCGCCGCCACCAAAGACACCCACAAAACATGTTAAATTTTGTTACCCAAGACACCAAAAGAACAAGCTTTATTATAATATGACTCATTCACTTTTTGTTGATGGCTGATTTATTTTAATCTTTATAGGTGGGTTAAGTCTTAAGAAATCTACTGATGTACATTTGTTAGTTTGAATCAATTCTACATTAGATTTAACTCTAAAAACAATCGCATTGAAGTAAAGTTTCTAATAGGTAACAAAAAGCCACAAGTTCTATTGTTTGAGTTGCACAAAAGCTTTTCACGCTGTCACCTATATTGAAAGCTGATAAGGCTACTATTATTTAGCTAGTTGTGTAATGTTCTTGGGAAATAGAAATTTGTTCCTTACCGGCATCCATAGCAGCCATTTTCCTCATGTTTTGCTGTCTGCGACGTCTGACAGTCATTTTTCGGAAAACTGTTCCACTTAGAGGTTCAATGTCGCAAAGTTCGACTGGCGTATTGTCGAGGTTTGTCTGGAAAATAATACATTTATACTATAGTTTATTTATGTATTACAGGGTGTCCTAACAAGAGTTATCAAACTCAAATAAGCTTCCATTTTTCCTCTTTTTATCCGGAAAATTTCAAAACTATTCCTGCAATAGTTTTCCAGAAAAATTATGAAACATGTAAGAGTGTTTTTTTGTAAAATCTAGTTTCTAGAAGTTGATTTTCAAGAATTTTCCGTGTTCAAGTTTTTCAGTAAATCAATTTGAAACTTCACTTATAGAAGCTTCCATTTTTCCTCTTTTCATCCAGAAAATTTCAAAATTATTCCTGCAACAGTTTTCCAGAAAAATAATCAAATATGTGAGAGTGTTTTTTGTAAAATCTAGTTTCTGGAAATTGATTTTCAAGAATTTTTCGTGTTCATGTTTTTCACTGAAACAATTTAAAGTTTCACTTAAATGAGATCCCATTCTTCCTCTTTCCATTCAGAAAATGTCAAAATTATTCCTGCAACAGTTTTCCAGAGAAATAATGAAATATGTGAGAGTGTTTTTTGTAAAATCTAGTTCCTGACAGTTGATTTTCAAGAATTTTTCGTGTTCATGTTTTTCACTGAATCAATTTAAAATTTCACTTAAATGAGCTCCCATTTTTCCTCTTTCCATCCAGAAAATTTCGAAATTATTCCTGCAACAGTTTTCCAGAGAAATAATGAAATATGTGAGAGTGATTTTTGTAAAATCCAGCCTTAACAAACCAGTAATGGGAGCTATAACAATCGAGAAATCTTTAATGAACCTGCGGTACCACCAAAAAGTTCCTACTATCCTCCTAACCTCAGTGACACTGGTGGAAACAGGAACGTCCAACATGGCCCTACCCTTATCGGGGTCTACGTGTAATCCTTGGCTATCGACTACATAACCCAGATACTTTAGTCTAGGCTTACAAAATTGACACTTGGCTTGACTCACAGTGAGATTGGCCTGACGCAGTCTACGAAACACCTCCTCCAGGACCTTCAAGTGCGTCTCAAAATCGGGCGTAATCACCACTATTTAGATACACGAAAACATATTGGCTCCAGATCAACTCCAAGGACATTATCAATGAGTCTTTGCCAAGTGGCAGGGGCATTATGTAACCCAAATGGGAGTCTCTTAAATTGAAACACTATTCGAGATTATGAAAGCGGTGTAGGGAAGAGAAGATTCGGCGACTGGTACCTGCCAATACGCCGACTTAATGTCCATAATGGAACAAAACTTGCTCTGGAAAAGTTTATGGATGGTGTCAGTAACCTGAGGAAGAGGATAACTATCGCGTTCACACACAGCATTAATCTTCCTGTAGTCCACAAAAAGGCGGAACGAACTATCTCTTTTTTTACCCATAACGACTGGTGATGCCCACGGGCTTTTCGACGGTTCCACAACCCCAAGCTTTATCATCTCATCCAATTCCCTATCGATGTGTTGCTGCATTATGGGAGAAACTCGGTACCAACGTTGCTTAATAGGTTTGGCCTTGGGTAACAATAACATATGTTACACCTGGTCCGTGCAACCCAATTTATCACCCATAAGCCTAAAACTGTCGTCCAACAACGCATTTAACTCAACCTCTCTTGGTCCTCCGTTAGAATGGTTTCATCAGCTACCTCTTAGAGAAGCAATTTCAGGCAGGCTCACCACACCGTAAATCAGGCACAACATCCATAGCCTTCCAGAAATCGGTACCCAAAATTAAGATATGTGGAAGCTCTGGCATAACATTAGCCTTAATAAGACAAGTACGATCCCTCACTTTCATCGGTATCTCACAAGTACCAATACTGCGACACTTTTGACCATTGGCCACGCTGCAACTCGACGTCTGACTCAGTAGGAGACGCCTCTGAATCGAGAAGACCCAAAACTTCCCTTCCTAAAATATCCACGTTCTAGTGCTGAAACTATCCTTTTTAAAACGGAAACAGAATTTCGGCCTGGATAGAGAACATCCTACAGCACGATGACCAGGTTTCTTGCACCTAAAACACACAATTTCCTTGTTCACAGACTCCCTATCTTCAGGACTCTTATTAGAAATATTTACAGTGGCTATACCTGCCGCAACCTCATATAGGCTAAATCAGGCTCAAGAAGATTGGCACGTCTAGAAGGTTGTGAGTAGCGCTCAACGGATTTCCTTCTCTCCTCGAGTCGACGACACAGAGTACGCAATTGGTTAATAGAGGAAACATCAACCAAAGCCAGCTGTCCCTGGTCAAACCCTGGTAAAATGGGGCTAAATTGCGAAGCAAAATTTTCAATTTAGCATCCTCCGAAACCGGACAAGTAAGTCTTTTGAAATAACCGGCCAAGTGAATATCTACATTCTCATCTTGACCCTGTGTCCTCCTACAAATCTCAACAAAAAGTTACTCCTTATAATTACAGGGTTGGAATTTTTCACGCAATAAGTGGTGACGTCAGTTCTGTAAGCAAAATAAAATTGGTATGCCTTCCCAACAAAAAGATCAATTCCTGAATCTAAAAGTACCGCCTCAGGGACCTGTCGAGCGTCCCGAAGTTCCTCAGCTTTCTCGAGAAAAGCACTAAGAGACAAACCCTTTTTGTCACCGGAAAATTGCACATTCCACTTATTTGGGAAAACTATTCTATTAAGCGATGGATGAAAAACAGAGGAGTTCACAGCCTCGCCTATATTAGCATCAAAGCTCCCTTCTTCGTCATCCCCAGCATAGGCGCCGAAACCATGGGGGCAATGGGGGCTTGAGCCCCTGTAGCGAGTTTGCTATGGGGGCGGAGCCCCCATAGAATGTAGTGGGTGTAGTGAATAGGTACAAAAATATTGAGTTCCTGATCCTAATATTCCTAACTATTTATTTTCATATCAAACTTGTGTGTTTTATGTTTTTGTTGCTTTTGCTATAGGTACCAACTTTGACAAATAGTTTGAATATTTTTTTGTTTAGTATAGTACCCAAAGTAAATTTTAGGGGCCTTAATACAAAAAGCTTAGGTGACAGATACCCATTACCCAACATAACGGATCTCTTGAACAAGCTGGGACGCTGCCAGTATTTCACCACCTTAGATTTAGCTAGCGGCTTCCACCAGATCCAGATGCATGAAAACGACATCAAAAAAATTGCATTTAGCACAGAAAACGGGCATTATGAAATCTTGCGCATGCCCTTTGGTTTGAAGAACGCGCCGGCTACATTCCGAAGAGTTATGGATGATATTCTATATCCCAATATATTGAGCAACTTCAACAGTCAAAAATTGAACATCCCATTAATAATAGTTATTCATTATACGAGGGAAAAAAGTACATATTGGATTTTAGAGCGAGATGTGGTTTGCCTCCCGTCGCGAAGCGGAAGGAGACAACAACAAGGTGGCGAAAGAGCGCTGGAAATGCTGGAGGTGGAACAGAGGAAATCGTTATCTTTCGTTCTCTATTCAACCTTAGAGTGTTTCTAGACATTTCATTCTGTTGTATTAAAATTGGCCTGTTGTTGACCTGTCAAACCTGCATATAGGTAGTTCATTTTTTGGCCATGCCATTAGCTTATTTATAGGTTTGTCTCATGCCATAAGTAGAGTTTTTTTCAATTTGTTTTGAATGAAAGCGAGGCATCATAGCCAGGGAATGTGAAGATTTCAGTCCATTTGCTGAAAAGATCTGTAGATCGCATTTCTGCTTGTTCTCATCATTAGAAATCCCAAAAATACCGTGAAAAGACCCAAAAATTTAGCGGCTGCGGCGCTTTTCTTCCTGCAGCGCTTGCGGCGAAGCTGCCACTGCTGCAATCTGCAATAATCACATCCTGCAAATTTGCCCCTTCCCCTCCCTAAGACAAAATCCTGACTACGCCAATGGTGCTGTCGAAGCCGAGCTGCCGAAGATGCACGAATTTCAATAATATGAAGGAACCTGTCAACTGATCCCTTTTAAGTCTATGTGTCTAGTAGCCTAGTCCTGCCTGTCTAATTAATTCTACTTATGTTAATTTTTGGACCCCAAGCTCCCATAGTAATTTTGAACTTCCGGCGCCTATGATCCTCAGAGCCATTGGTAGTAACACGACCTGTACTAGAACCACCAGCTTGCGATTCCAAAAGATAGAGACTAGGGGGAATAGGTACCTTTTTTTTTTCGTATTTGGAAGTTGCATCCTCCAAATTTTTTACCAAGGTGCCAGGCCAGTGCGACCCACTCTGACCTAGACTTTTGTTTTCCCAGATCTCCAGCAGTATCCATATGGTCCAAAATTGACACTTCGCTCGACCCACAGTGAGATTGGCCTGACGCAGTCTACGAAACACCTCCTCCAAGACCTTCAAGTACGTATCAAAATCACTACATCATCTAGATACACGAAAACATAATATGGCTCCAGGACATTATATAGTCTTTGCCAAGTGGCAGGGGCATTATGTAACCCGAATGGGAGTCTCTTGAATTGAAACAGATCACGATTTGGGATTGTGAAAGCGGTGTAGGAACGAGAAGACTCGGCAACTGGTACCTGCCAATACGCCGACTTAATGTCCATAGTGGAACAAAACTTGCTCTGAGAAAGTTTATCCATATGGTCCAAACGATTAAGGATGTGACTCAACTTAGTCTGTAGCTTCAGAAACTCTCCACTTTTCCGATCACCTGAAAATCTGCTATAAGAGGAATGATCTTAATTTTCTTGTCAACTATAGTGGCGTCTTCCTCAAATGTGAAAGGATATACTCAAGGAACCTGACACCATCACTACTTTCATCAAACTCAATTTTGCACAGATTCATAGAGAATTTAATGCTCTCACCAATAGTGCAGTATAATTTATTCTGATTTGTTCAAATATTGATGGAAATATTGGCAATGTTTCTTAATTTTGTTAACAAAGTTAACATCTAGCAGACATTCAGAAAGATGAGGAACATCTTACACCAAATTATGAGCAATTTTGATCTGACAAATTCAGTCTTTTACTCAAGATTCAAGATAAAATAAATGGACACATTTTTCCAGCTATCACTGAAAAGACCAAAAAATATGTCAGGCTGAAAATGTTATTGAAAATTTCAGTTAAGCTGTAAATGAGCATGAAATTTTGCTGAATATGCAAACAACACACCATTAGAATCAAAAAATGAGGACTTTTTTACAATAAAGTAAGAAGATACGAGTGATATATTGAGATGAAACCGTTTTTGTAATGACTTTTGGGGATAATTTTTTCTCAAACTTCTAATCAAAACCTGTATAAATGATAATATACCAAATCAAACTTGTAGATAGAAATTAAAGAATTGATAATACAATGTCTGTAACTTGAAAATTGATTAAAGTTAACAGGTATAGTACCTCTCCTGTTGGTTCTTCTTTCCCGTAACCTTCCTCTGGCAGTGAATGTGTAACGAAAGGCATTTTCTTCACTTCTTTACTCGACTTGCTTTGCGATAACGACCTACTTCGAAAATATGCCAGATCCGAGGCTTTATTCGGGCCGTCGAAGCTCACATGTCGTTCAGGTGGTTTTTCTAGCGAATTTTCCAGCGTCGATGTTGAAGCCTTGGCACTGTCACTATCATCATCTACTGGAATGAAATTTTATATTATAAACACTTGAAACATTGGGTCATATGCATGAAACACGAGCATATGCTTTTCTTCAAGACGGAGGTAGACTAAAAACATTTGCTGCACTTTATTCATACAACTGATTCAGTAACAAAAAAAAGTTACCTACCTTTTTCTGTTGTTTTAGATATTTCCTCAACTTCAGTTGTTTTCCTTCTAGGTGACCTCTTCCTGTCTCTCAAAGACACAGACATTAATGGATGAACACGTGCCGGCTTAATTATTTCTGAATTATTTTTGGAAATACTCTCTTCAACAAGTGGTTCAGCGTAAACGTCCTCAGACTTGGCCCTTCTTGGCGACTGATTAAACGCCTCAGTGTTTTTAAGATTGGTTTGATGCAAGGCTAACGAAGGGTAATTGTTGATGTCTTGGCCTCTAGGAAGACTATTGTAGGGTCGTAGTTCTGCTGAGCTTCTTAAAGCGGCCCATCGTGGAGTAGGATCTGTTGGTAATTGATTATTAGATTTTGTTGCATCAAAACTGAAAACTTACTTGAAATCGTCCACGATCTTCTAATGGTTTTCTTTATGATGTCTGCAGCTGGAACGTAAACTTTTGCATCTCGTCGTCTGCTGGGTCTTCGAACGAATTCATTCATCCATTCTCCTGAAGCTGCTTGGATTTCCCTAGAAAAAAAGTACTGATTTTTACAAAGAAAATTACTCCTCAATTCTATTTCAGAATACCAATTTTCTAAGCTACTGACTCTTTGTGATTGCCCGGTTTATATGCAAATTCGATTGTATTATCTTGTAAAGCTGCCTCTTTTATTTGACGCAAGAAAAAAAAAGTTTCCAGAATAATATTAAAAGGGGAAGAATAATGAGTAATAATAGATTGGCAAGGTTTTTATAATTTTAACCCTCCTTGAAGACGGGGGCGGTTTAATTAGCTTCTGATTGTTTTGATATTAAATATAAGTATAAGACGACCCAAGGGCTGAATTCTTAATTTTAATTTGTAAGTTTGAATATTGATATTTCATTATTAAGGTTGCTTGTTTAATGGAATTTTTAACCAATGATAATTGAACAGTTCAAATAATATTTACTGAAGTTGTGAAATACAATTTTCCGCCAGAACAATTTATTGAATATTGACTATTTCTCAATACTTAGTTTAAAAAAATATATCTCCTGTTTATTCTATAAAGATAAGGATAATGATCTCTAAATAATAAATACCCAGACAGTATTGATTTCCTATATAGATATCTACTAGAAAATTTATTGATCTTTGAAACTAGGTATGTGGTTTAAAAATATGTATTATGTTCAAAGTTTGAAGATGTTTTTAGGCCTTGATTGTTAACATAAGGGCTTTTGATTGTCTATGGAAAAATGATTTGACGAATCAAGAGCCGGTAATAAGTATTGAAATTTGTCTCGATTGCTTTGAAAAATATCAACAAATTAAAAACCTGAAAAAGTTCAAATTCTGATTTTTACCACATTTTCGAATAATCATACAGTTTCCTATGTAAAGTTTTTGAATAATCATATAGTTTTGTATATTTTCGTATGGTTCTCCATTTGTAGGTCGATCGAGTGTACGCCACTGGTATTTTCCTGTTTCTGACTACCCCCTCAACCTTTCCATGTTAGTATGAATTCAATCCTATGTACAGGGTGCTGCAATTTGGAGTGTTTTAACAGGAAAAACACACTTCCAGACCAGATAGACGAAAATTGACTTAGATGTCATGGGATTGATTTTCGAGAAATGTCAAATGTCAAAAACCGCATCGCGATATCTTCAATGGTACCGTTAATACAGGGCGATTTCCGATTTTTCCCTATTATGAAAAATGGCTATAAGTTTTTTATTTGTCAATTTTTTTTATTTCTGTAAAAACATTATGGAGACACTTTTTTGAGCACAATCCAGTGGCGGACTCAGTTTTTTCTATATTGTTCCGATTTCGAAATATCGACCAAACTCCGATATTTTCAAATGAAATACCCTATATATTAATAGCTCATTGGATAGCTCTGTTTTTACTGATTTCAATGATATAAACTTCGATAGGTTTATCTCTAACAGTTTTCGAGAAAAAAAAATTATATGTTTCAGTCATAAGAAACAATGTGTTAGAAAGAGACCTTCCTCTTTTTCCTTACACATATAAAATCCTTTTCTAACACATTGGTCCTTACGACAACAGATATAATTTTTTTTCTCGAAAACTGTTAGAGATATATCTATCGAACTTTATATCATTGAAATCAGCAAAAACAGAGCTATCCAATGAGCTATTAATATTTAGGGTGTTTAATTTGAAAATATCGGAATTTGGTCGGTATCTCGAAATGGGAACGATATAGAAAAAAACTGAGTACGTCACTGGATTGTGCTCAAAAAAGTGTCTCCATAATGTTTTCACAGAAATAAAAAAAATTAATAAATAAAAAACTTATAGCCATTTTTCATAATAGGGAAAAATCGAAAATCACCCTGTATCAATGGTACCATTGAAGATATCGTGATACGGTTTTTGACAATTGACGTTTCACAAAAATCGATCCCATGACGTTTAAGTCAATTTTCCTCTATCTGGTCTGGAAGTGTGTTTTTCCTATTGAAACACTCCAAATTGCAGCACCCTGTACAGGGTATTGTTTTATATATTGACACCCCACCTACATCCTCTACCTTTACAAGTAGAAGAAAGGTATCAATACAAAAGTTGTACAGTTTTGGCTAAATTTTTAGAATCCATGGTCAAAAACCAAAATTGAATGTCAGAAATGTGGAATATTACATGTTTTCAGCTTTTTTCAAATGGGATGCCCTATATTTGGTTCTATATTTTTGAAAAGTACAATTTCCCGATTCCAAAAATATATAGCTTGTCTATATTTAATTGAGCCGTCTCCAAAATATTTGATTCTAAAAATTTCAAAAATACAATCAGAGAAACCAAGTACCTCAAATTTTACCTGCAGCTTTCACCTGCACAGGTAGAATGGTTCACAGAATCAGTTAGTAGGATAGAAGATAGTATTTTCACAAATTTTGGAGCCGAATATATGAGAGACGGCTCAACCCAATATAGATAATATATATATATATACTTTTGAAATCGGGGCATTTGAATAATGCCAAAAGCATGCAAAATTTCACATTTCTGACATTCAATTTTTGTTTTTGACCATGGATTCTAGAAATTTAGCCACAACTGTACAACTTTTGTATTTTCACCTTTCTTCTATCTGTAGAGGTAAAGGCTCTAGGTGGGGTGTCAATATAATATATAAAAAAAACATTTGTACAAATAAGTGGATTATTGCGGAACTTATGGATGGACCTCTGCGGGACGAGCGCAGCGAGTTCCGCAGCCATCTACTCACCAACATACTGTTGAATTGTTCAAATAAGACACTCACCTGAAACATGTAGTTTCTAAACTAATGAGAATAACTGATATTTGAGTGAGTCAGGTTAGTATCATACTTAAACAACATATTGATGAATAGATGGCTGCGGAACTCGCTGCGCTCGTCTCGCAGAGGTCCACCCATAAGTTCGGCAATAATCCATTTATTTGTACTTGAACAATAACTTATTATATAAAGTCAAAATTTGTAAGATTATAAACTTTTTGCCAATTTGCATTTCAACAAGAATTAGTAATGTTACTTTACCAAACTAGTAAAATAATGTGACAAGTTATTCAAGTACAAAAGAGTGGATTGTTGCGGAACTTATGGGTGGACCTCTGCGGGACGAGCGCAGCGAGTTCCGCAGCCATCTATTCATCAATATGTTGTTTAAGTACGATACAAACCTGACTCATTCAAATGTCAGTTATTCTCATTAGTTTAAAAACTATACGTTTCAGTGTAACGGTCTAAATGTGATTGTATTACATATTGCTATTTTTTATAGATTAATGTTGAATTAGATTCGTTTAAACAAATTTTGTTCAGCGAAATATTTTCAAATTAGATTTATATTTGAAATAAGTTATGAATTAAATATACCTACTCACCTACTAGTACACTATTTTAAATTTAAATACCCCAATGATGGGTTATCCCCACTCACATATTTTTATGTGATATATACTTTGGTTCCTCGTCTATCTAGACTTGATCTAGACGAATTTCAAAGGTCAGAACCACACCAACTAGTGTTCAATGCATAAGCTCGTTAATGATTAAAACGCATTTTGAGTTTCATAGACTCCTTCGGCATCCTAGAGTGATTTTGGTGATTTTCTTTCAGGCTATTTTTCACTCTAACGACAAATTGTCGGATTCAAAGCATTCGTCCACGTTCACGATAGTCGAAAAACTTGACGCCATTTTGTGGGCGAATTTAGAATATTTCAAAAATTATTATCTTTAGAAAAAAGTGTTTAGTACAAAAGTTTCAAGATTACTTCTTCTCTACAAAATGGCGTTATTTTTATCTTCACGCGGCTTCCAGTTTTTGAGATATCAGTACCCAACTTCATTTTTTTAAATACGGACCTGGATTTTTCATTTTATTTTTCAAAAGAATTTTTCTTCCCCTTCGAAATGACCTATAGTCCAGGGCCCAGGCGTGTTTCTAGACGTTTCAGTATGGAAATAGCCATCATCAACACTTTTTGCTAAGTACGGGCCTGATGTATTGCACACCCAGCTAAAATACGGTATTTCCTGCTGCATTAGGTATATCTTTTTATTCTTTGTCTGGAAGTTAGTTTTCTATATCGGTTGGGTGAACGAGGCGACCAATTTATGGAACCGTTTCAGTTATTACCAATTCAACGATTGGGTACAAAATCATTGAAAAACACATATGGGTTCACGATGTGTTAGGGCACCATCTTACTGGAAGTACTGGAAATTTCTGTTTACAATCCTGCAAATCATTCCGTAAAAATCGCTAGTACTTTCTAACAGTAAGGTTCCTTCAAAAAAGAAGAGACCCACTACTTTGAAGTCGACGATTCCAAGCCAAATATTGATACCGACCGAATCTCTCCTGGAAAGCTGTTTCTGTATGAATTTGTTGATTTTCATAAGTCTAACGATAGTGGATTTTGCGATCAAACCACCCGTTATTGTAATAACAAAAATTATGACAGAACGCACATCATGCGTGATCGCAGTGATGGACCATTGCAATAAAAAAAAGTAGAACAAAAATCTCCAAAAAAAAACGTGTGAAGATAACAATAACGCCATTTTGTAGAGAAGAAGAAATCTTGAAACTTTTGCATTAAACACTTTTTTCTGAAGATGATGATTTTTGAAATATTCATTGAATAAGTTTTAAATATTTTTTACATTTTCCCTCATATCTCGGGTACAAAAATTTGGCAACCCTGTGAACTTACCTTTGATGGACATTAAAATCTGCCACTTTTGTCTAATTTAACCGACCTCGTAGTTTTTAACGTTTCGGAGATAGCAATAGTGGTAGGTATCACTTAAAACGGACACCCTGTATATATATGGAATTGAATATAATATACAATTTTTTTAATCAGGAAAATTAAAATTACAACAACTACCTTACCTAATTCCATTAATATCAATATTGATAGTTGAAAACTAATTTAACAATAACTGTAATTTTTTTTTAATAAGTTATAAATCTATCATATAAAATACCCATAAGTTGGAATCTTCCTAATGAAACTGTCTTTTGGGTACTTATTGCTTATTCGATTTCAGCTAACTTAATTGGATTTATACAGAATTAGCTATTGAGCCTTGCCTTACTCTTACTAGGGATATTTTTCGAGATTCACGTGACCGGCTTCTCTACTTTTGAGTGTCCAAGTCAAAGGTCACTGGCGCCCTTTTTGAGATCAGATTATCAAATACTTGACTAGTGTTCGCATGACCGCACGACCACTCACCGCGAGTAGTTAGCCCGACACTCCTCTTTTACCACCTTCCCTTTAGTTTAGGTCCTTTTAGTATTTTAGGGGTAACGAGACGTTTCATCAGGTGAGTGTGTGTTATTTGAACAGTTCAACAGTATGTTGGTGAGTAGATGGCTGCGGAACTCGCTGCGCTCGTCCCGCAGATGTCCACCCATAAGTTCCGCAACAATCCACTCGTTTGTACTTGAATAACTTGTCACATTATGTTATTAGTTTGGTAAAGTAACATTACTAATTCCTGTTGAAAGGCAAATTGATAAAATGAATAATCTTACAAATTTTGACTTTATATCATAAGTTATTGTTCGAGTACAAATAAGTGGATTATTGCGGAACTAATGGGTGGACCTCTGCAGCCATCTATTCATCAATATGTTGTTTAAGTACGATACTAACCTGACTCACTCAAATGTCAGTTATTCTCATTAGTTTAAAAACTACACGTTTCAAGTGAGTGTCTTATTTGAACAATTCAACAGTATGTTGGTGAGTAGATGGCTGCGGAACTCGCTGCGTTCGTCCCGCAGAGGTCCACCCATAAGTTCCGCAATAATCCACTCGTTTGTACTTGAATAACTTGTCACATTGTGTTACTAGTTTGGTAAAGTAACATTACTAATTCCTGTTGAAAGGCAAGTTGACAAAAACTGAATAATCTTACAAATTTTGATTTTATATAATAAGTTATTGTTCAAGTACAAATAAGTGGATTATTGCGGAACTTATAGGTGGACCTCTGCGGGACGAGCGCAGCAAGTTCCGCAGCTATCTATTTACCAATATACTGTTGAATTATTCAAATAAAAGACACTCACCTGGAACGTGTAGTTTTTGAACTAATGAGAATAACTGACATTTGAGTGAGTCAGATTAGTATCGTACTTGAACAACATATTGGTGAATAGATGGTAGATAATCTTACAAATTCTGACTTTATGTAATTAGTTATTGTTCAAGTACAGGGTGTTTTTTTATATATTGACACCCCAACTACAGCCTTTACATTTACAAGTAGATGAAAGGTGTGAATACAAAAGTTGTACAGTATTGGATAAATTTTTAGAATCCATGGTGAGAAACAAAAATTGAATGTCAGAAATATGAAATGTTGCATGCTTTCAGCTTTTTTCTAATGGGATTCCCTATATTTGGTTCTATATTCATGAAGAGCACAATTTCCCGATTCCAAAACTGTATAGTTTGTCTATATTTGGTCAAGCCGTCTCCAACATATTTGGTTCTAAAAATTTTAAAAATAGTATCAGAGAAACCACGTAGGTACCTCAAATTTTACCTGCAGCTTTCACCTGTACAGGTAGAATGATTCACAAAATCAGTAGTAGGATAATATTTTCACAATTTTTGGAGCCGAATATATGAGAGACTGTTCAATCAAATATAGACAAACTATATATTTTTGGAATCGGGGCATTGTGCTTTTCAAGAATATAGAATGAGATATAAGGCATCCCATTTGAAAAAAGCTGGAAGTATGCAAAATTTTACAATTCTGACATTCAAATTTTGTTTCTGACCATGGTTTCTAAAAATTCAGCCAAAACTGTACAACTTTTGTATTTACACTTTTCTTCTACCTGTAAAGCTAAAGGCTGTAGGTAGGGTGTCAATATATAAAAAAACAACCCTGTACAGTTTTTAAATAATCATAATCATACAGTTTCCTATGTACAGTTTTTGATTTACCAGCTCTTGATTAGTAATATTACCTTTCTGAAAATAATCAAACGCCTCAGTAGTAAGATTATTACGAGATTTTAATCATTCCTTGGGCAAAAAGCATATTCAAAATTCAGGTATTATTATAAAAAATGGAAAATTTGCAGTTTATTTTTTGATTATCCCCATTTTATATACAGCAAAATAGAAACGTAATTAAAAAGGCCTGCTGAAACATTACGACAATTTTCCATTTGTTCCAGAATAAATTTGATATAAAATATCCCATTTAGTTTCCAAACAGCCACCAACCAATGTACAAATTCACTGCATAATCTTCAAGCACATATTTGAATCCTATAATGAACATAATTTATTTGAGTTTTCACAAGCTCGTTATTTAGGAAAGTGTGTGTTACTCATTAAAAACTATAAGTAATTAATACTGATATTCTATAGCAGGGTGAAGAATCTACTTAACACCCTGTTATCTCATAAAACTTGTCACCTAAGTGCAAATATATCTATAATAATAATAGATGCTTGAAAACAGCAAAACACTTAAAATTTTAATTGTTGATAAACATTATAAATATCCGAAAATAACTGCACACAAAAACATATCAATATTGACTTCTAAACTGTGCGCATCAAAATGAAATTCACTTTTCTGTTGGTACTAGTAGCTTACTCAGAAGCAGCTACTTTCAACATCAACAACAAAGACGGAGGCCCAATTTGGATTGGAATCCAAGGAAATCCTGGCAAAGAGAATTTGGCCAATGGCGGCTTTAAGCTCCCCCAAGGAGAATCTGTAAGTAATTCCACATTCCTTATCAATAATTATTATGATTGTGTGATTTTAAGAGAACTCTATATGCCGCTGACGATTGGGCTGGAAGATTCTGGTCCAGGACTTGGTGCTACGAAGATCAAGGCAATCATTGCTTGACAGGGGATTGCGGCAATGTTGTAGAGTGTAATGGGGCTGGTGGTACTCCTCCTGCAACTCTTATCGAATTTACTTTAAAAGGTTACGGTGGGTTGGATTATTACGATATTTCTTTGGTTGATGGCTACAACAGTATGGCTTCAGTAAGTACAAATTCTATGTTCTTTTCAAGAATCCAACAGTACCATTGTCACTAAATAGCTTTCAATCTTGTGTTCGCTTTTGACTTTTCTTTTAGAAAACTTAGTGTAATAATCTTCAAATTAAATATTCAATAGGTGGAACCAATCAATGGTCAAGGTGATGGTGGCCAATACAGTTGCAAAAAAGCCCAGTGTGCCACTCAGATCAACTCGATTTGCCCTGGGGAGCTTCAAGTGCACAACGAAGACAATTCGGTGGTGATTGCTTGTAATTCGGCCTGCAACGCTTTCCACACGGACGAGTATTGTTGTTCTGGATCGCACAGTACTCCGGAAACTTGCAAAAGTTCCGATTGGCCTACAAATTATCCGGCCATTTTCAAAAATGCTTGTCCAGATGCTTATAGTTATGCTTACGATGACCATAAGAGTACTTTTACTTGTAAGGCTAGCGAGTATACTATTAACTTTGGAGCAGCATAATTTGATTAGTGTTTAAGTTTTATAAATATTCAATAAATATAGCTGGCAAAACAAGCAAAGATGTTTTTACGTTGTTGTTGAATTTTTTATTTACATACTAGAAGAAATATAGTAGGTATAGTTCAAGAAAGACCATTTCATAATGAATTCATTTCTGGATGCGGAAAAAAAATGAAAATATAAGAAGTGCAGTGAATACCTACCACAAATCAAATTCTGATGTTTGTAAGAATGGTTATATCTGACAATTTGCTAAATATTGAAGATTTGTAGGAGGAGTTAATGAGAATCAGGGTTTCAGCTTGAGATCAAATCATTATCATGCAATTAACTTTTACCCCAGTATTTCAACACCTCGTCCTAAGTCAAGCACAATCTCGTCCACAAAGAAACTTGGTGCTAATATCCAGCCTTTTAGTGGATCCTGCTGCACCCAATTTTCACACTAAATATCACTTGATACAAAGATCTACTTCGGTAGACTGAGTGGATTTGGTTGCAAGTGTGCCTTCATGGGTAGTTTTAGTGACAACACTAGAGCCAATAAGAACGGTTCAAATGTGGATATGAGTAGTGGCAGTGCAGGAAGTAAAGTTGCTAGAGGGCACAAAGATGCCAAGGTAATACTCAGCATAATTAAAAGGAAAATATTTTCAATCATTATTATTTTAGGTGGTTACAAAAATAAAACAGTTCACTAACAGTTGTCCTTATAGTAAAACCTGATAGAGATATAGCAAAAGCTAATATATCAAATGTAGAAATTTCAGTGAAAACCAAAGGTTTACATAAACATGTTAAAGGCAAATTAGGTTCAATATTTATATATATCCTGTTCACAATCCGATGTCCACAGGTGCAGGTAAATTTATCACCTTTCCCTATCAAATAGCATTAAAAGGTGATTTTTCCTGTACCTACCTGTGGACATCGGATTGTGAACGGATAATATCTAAAATGGATTTTTTCCTATGAGCGTTATGAAACTATTCCTAAATTAATGTTAGTCACTGTAATAGTTGCCTTATATAAACCTAATTTCTGAACTTATACACGTATTTATAATGTCACGCCATTTCAAGTTTTTCACTGTAGGTATATCACTTAATCCAAATATTTGCACAACGTTATAGTGCATTTTGTTTGTTTTATATTATTCTTGTTATTGTTCAATACAGAGAGGAGTGTTATAATACTATCATCAAAAGTATTCTACCAAAAATTATAGGGTGATTATAGTAGGTAGTTTTCGGGGGTTATGGTTTAAAACAGAAACAAGACAAAGAGACACTCCACCTACCACTCAAGGTACAACCATCCACCTACTGCGTCCTGTAACCTCCTACCGTACACTGCTCAAGATACTACACACAACTATCTTCCTATTGCACCCTGTATCCCCCTATCGCGCTTTTGAAATAGTAGATAAAGTATCCTTCCACCGCAATTTTCCTGTAATTATCCCCCTAGTTTCGATTTCAAACAATCAACCTTTCAAGTCAGATGAAAACCATCAGCACAAAATTAGCTAAACCAGTAAAATCCAGAACAAAACCAGCACAAAACTGTGAAATCCAACTAAACCAGCATAAAACTAGCAAAATACAGAACAAAACCAGCAAAATCCAGAACAAAACTAACAAAATCCAGCATAAACCTAGCAAGAAATCAGTAAAAACCAGCTAAACCAACATAAAACCAGTAAAATCCAGAACAAAATCAGCAAAATCCAGAACAAAATCAGCATAAAACATAGGGGGATGGTTGTGTGTAGTATCTTCAGAGGTAGGGGGATGGAGGGGCGATAGAGTATTAGGACAAAAGGAGGATGATTGTTTCTTGAGTGGTAGGGGGAGTGTCTCTTTGTCTCGTCTCTGTTTTGGTCCAAAACCCCCGAATACTACCTACTTACTGATTATTTTTACTAGGTATAGTTAATTTCTAGCCCTAACGGTAGAATAGGCAAACAACAAAAACATTTTTGTTTTTAAATAATCTAGAAAACAAATCTTATCAATTGAATCATGCGTAAACACTATGCATCCTTGTAATTTCCTAAACGGAATTTTCTAGGACCCCCCCAAATATATTTAATCTTTCTTTAAATATTTAACTATTATTTAAATAATGAGCAGAAATGTTTTGTAACTATGCAGTAGAAATTACTATGACTTTCTCGATATCATCGATAGCTTGAATGAGTACTTTTCCGGGTCTGACGTCACTGGCACTTTTAATAGTGAAAGGTAAGGCAGAATCAAGCAGGCTGAAGACAGGGGTGGAAACAATAAGGGCCTTGTTTGATGACAACAATAACAACCATTCAAAACATCATGAAGGGGAGACATTAGGGAAGAATAATTCTTCAAGAATCTTCAATAAGTTCAATAGCAACCACATAGACCAGAAAATCTTTTAGTTTGGGTCGTATTTGCTGTCCTTTTAGCAGCTATTACCTACATATTATGATTTGTCTGAATAAAGAAAAATCCTACTATAATTTCTAGCTCTAGCTCAATCTGATATTATGGTATCCAGACTTTTTCAACATTTTTCATTTAAGTATTAGTTGAATAAATTGTGTAACATTTCCTGGGAAATCGCTTCAATGACATTACAAATGTTCCACATAAGATCTTCCAGGCTATTTGGCAAAGGATTACAGGATCTCTTCTTGACATAGTTCCAGAGAAAAAAGTCTGGAACTGTCAAGTCAGAAGAGTAAGGTGTTCACTCTATAGGACCAGCTCTTTTCCCAAATGCAATATCTAGTGATTCCCTTGCTATTAAAAAATAATGAGTTGAGGTACCATCCTGCTAAAAATAGATACCTATCGTCCAAGATTCCACCCTAACGTCTTAATAGTGGATAAAAGACATTTTTCAACATATCAGTGTATACAGTTCCTGTTATCGTTGCTTCATTAATGAAAAATGGTCTGTATTTTTTCTCAACAGAGATTGCACATCAAACTGTTACTTTTGTGGTATCTCAGTCTCGCTATTCTCACTAGAACTCGTTAAATTCTTTTGAAAAATTTATCCTAACTTAGTTGATAGGTATCTCACTTGACAGTTACAAAATTGTTTGCCATATCGAGAGTGTCAAGTTATAAAGTACCATCACCTGTAACTTTTTTACTTTTGATCGTGCATAAAAAAGTTACAGGTGGTGGTACTTTATAACTTAACACCCGGTACCTACAACGTGAAGTCGCATGCGTTTGCAAAAATACCAGGATTTCGATTTCAATTTTTCAAACTTTAAGTTTCAAGGCTTATGTTTATTGGTACATGGATACCTTGAACATAATTCTTTTTTTTTGACGTTGTGATCTACAGGGTGTTTCATTAAAAATAGTGGAAAATTTCAATGCTTCAACGGATTTTTTTTTACTGGTATCAACAAAATTTGCAACCAACTAAAAAAAAAAACTTTAGGCCAAGAGAAGTCGAATGGCGCAAATCGCAGGTAGCTAGCACACCTGGTTCAAAAGTTATAAACATTTATAATAGTCCACTCTCGGCTGGGACATCCTGTATTATTGTGCTCCTACATTTGAGAATACAAAAATTTACACCAAAAATTTAGGTAAATTTAAATTTTTGATGTAAATGGAATGACAGATATGTTCAACATCTATGTATAAATCAGTGGCGTAGATAGCTTTTCATCCTGGGGGGGTCCAGGTCCAGTGGTGCAGGCAAATGCGCCAAAGGCAAACATTTGTGACAGAACAGGTAAACAAAATGGCGGCAATTTGACCAGTCGAGACTAAGGATAACGCACACCTACCATGGGATTTTTGGGCTCAATGGATTTTGCCCATTTTTTGATATGTTGTAGAGGATTTAATTCTTAGCAACCTTTAAATGGGACGACATCTTGTAGGTGTTACGGTCTTTGAGATATGAGCGGTGAAAGATGAACTTTTTTGCGACTTTTTGTGTGGAGAGTATAAGAAAAACTGGTGTTTATCGGTCAAAATATTGACAGTTCGACATATTTCACTTCACTAACAAATGTCAATATAGACTAAGGCCGGGACCGCACTGGCACCAACATTGACCCCAGTGCGGTCCCGGCCTTAAACTATTTACATTAATTTGTAAGTGATGTAAAATATATGAACCTGTCAATATTTTGATTGATAAACACCAGTAGCACCAGTAACTCGTATACTCTCCACACAAAAAGTCGTAAAAAAGTTCATCTTTCAACGCTCATATCTCAAAGACCGTAATACCTACAAAATTATGTCCCATTTAAAGGTTGTTCAGAATTAAATCACATATCAAAAAATGGGCAGAATCTATAGAGCCCAAAAATCCCATGTTAGATGTGCGTTATCCTTTAGTAAAATTACATTATCTTTTCCAAAATTCCCATTATTCCCGAACTTTCAAATTTGAATAAAGTGCATATCCGTTATTTTGGATCGGTATAAGATTTATAAAAAAAATAACGTGCAACGCCGTAGACGTGGTAGAAGTGAAACTTCTTAAAATTTATCTCGCTCTCATACAAATTTTAGACTTAGCCACAGTTGCGTATGAGTCGGGGTAAAGACGAAGGGAGAAGCGCATCTATAGTGACGTCACAAGAGTATCGGCGCTTGACAATAATAGTTTATAATCCTTGATTGGTGTCAATCATTCGTCGGCTGTTATTGTCATTGGCTGTTTTTCTCCGTCCCTCTACGGTATATTTTTCTTCTCTCTCGTGTAACGAAATTTGCCAAAACAAGACGCGTCTTTCAAATCACTCTCCATTCTTGTCCAGTTAGTCCAATATCAGACCGCCGCCTAAGAAGTTTCACTTCAATAATCACAAAACACAATGATAATAGTATAACAAAAGGGAGACGCGCATCTGTAGTGACGTCACAATAGTATCGGCGCTTGTCAATAATGGGCAATCCTCTTTGCGCCTATAGTCCTTGGTTTGTGTGAACCAATAGCTGTCTTTCTCCGTTTCCACCATCGTATGCCAAAAAAGC